CGCCACCGGTGAGGCTGCTCGGCGCCCAGAGGGCCTCGGCGAGGCGGACCGGGGCTCACGCTGGGTCCGGCCTGGCTGGTCACTTGCGCAGAGGCCCCGTGCGCCCCAGGGGGAGCAGCTCGGCGCCAGGCCTTCGGGGGGCCCGAGCCTCAGGACGCCGGGGAGGGCGCCACTCCTGCTCACGTCCCGGAGGCCCTGGCCAGGTCCTCTTCGATGAGGTCGGCCACCAGGTTCAAGCGGCAGGCCCTGAGCGCCGCCACCAGGGGGGCCACGCCCGCGTCCTCCCGCGCCGCGCTCTTCCAGACGCGCAGCAGCTCCCGCACCTGCTCCATGAGGTTCCGGGGGTGCCGCTCCTCGATGGCGTCGATCTTGGCGTCAGACACGCCCAGCTGCCGGGCCAGCCTTCTCCAGTCCTTTCCCACGTTGTCACAGATGATCTCAAACGCCGCGCGCAGGTCTGGGAGGGAAGAACAGCGACTCACCGCGGAGCGTGGCTCTCGGGGCGCGGGGAGTGGCGCGCTCCCCGGCGGGCCCGAGCCGATGCCGGCGCGGGGCACGCGTGCTCCTCTGGCAGAGGCCGGAGCCACCAGCAGCAGGGCCGGGGCAGGCGACCTCCCACGGAATACTCCGCAAGGTGGTGGCTGGGTGGGGGGCGCCTGCTTAGGACAGGAGCTGGCGAGGAGCCCTTCGAGAGAAATGGGGCCGCCCCCGCTCCGGGGTGGCGCCCAGAAAGACGTGTCCGCGTGAAGTCACCGTGCCCGGGAGCAGTAGCCTCGGTAAGGGCCCTCAGCTGCGGTCACGCTGCTGCTCCTGCAACGAGCCCAGACCTGGGCAAGAGCCCCGACACAGGAGAGGCCAAGTGACTCAGGAGGCAGGCGGGAGCGCCCTCCCGGGACCGAGGGGCAGACCCCGCCGGCCGGGTGTCAGACTGCAGGCCCCGAAGTAGGGGTGCCAGTTTCCGTGACCGCAGCCCCCCGGTCCGCGGGTGCTTGCCGGGCCGCCTCGGACACACCTCCATGCTCGCTTAAGAGCGGCCTGCCCACCCTGGCCTAGTCTCCCTCCGCTGTCCCCGGCTGGGCAGGGATGCACCCCCTGAGACTGCGGGCCCCAGCCCTCCAGGCCCCGAGGTACTAAGACTACTTGTCCAGAGAGGGAAACTGAGGCACCAGGGAGGGACGCGAGTCCCCTGCAGCCAGACAGCGGGCACAGGAGCCCAGCCGGCCTGCGCTAGCCCACCCCTAAGTGTGGCACGAAAGCCAAGACTCCACACGCCACCCCCGCTCAGGCCACAGGCCTGCTGTGCCCTGCCCGCCTGGCCGACCCCCGCCAGCCACTGAGTGCCCGGGGAACGCCCTTCTGGGTTCTGACCACTGGTCCGGCCGCGCCCAATGGTCTGGGCACGCACAACGCAGGGGCCTATGAGGCCCAGCAGGCCCAAGAAGCAAAGCAACAGTCCTTAGAAAAGGGTGCTGGAAAAAAAAAAGAAAAGGGTGCTGGGGCCCTCCCTGGGGTGCAGCAGGTTAGAGCGCAGCACTGAGAAGCTAAAGCCACTTCCGCATGGGTTTGATCCCCGCCTGCCCCGGAGGTGACCACAGGGTGCAGCAGACCTCTCCTGGCCCCTCAGCAGGGTACTTGGTCAGTCGGCCTGTTCTGCTCCCCACTCGGTCTCTGGGGGGTCCTCTCACCACGCCTGCACCTCTGGCCTGTACCCCAGTTCTGGATGCACAAATAAACAAATATTTAACAACAACAACAGAAAGACAAGGGTCCCGGGAAGGGACCAAACGCAGGGCCGCGGCCTCCGCGGCCTGCAGCCAGGAAAGGGGCGCACGGGTCCTGCCTAAGCCGTCCCGAGGCGCGGGGCAAGGAGCCTCTGCAGCGTGGGCGCGGCCGGGGCTCCCAGGGGCGCATCCCGGCCACCCCTCCTGCCGGCAGCGACACCCTGCGGCCCGGGAAGGGCGGGCGTCCAGCCGGGAGCCCCGCGAATGGGAACAGACGCGCAGGGCGCAGGGGGTGGGCCGCCCCAGGCCCCTGCCGCAGG